GCAGATTTTTGATGCGTTCGAACCTCAGGGGCTGAACATCGGCACCCTATCAGACAGGGTCCCTGTGCTTCATAAGGTTTTCAGTGCTGCTGTTTCAGAAGTCGCCTGTCTCAGTCTGGATACACTGGGATGGTCCTAGTGGTTTTGAGGTGCTGTTGTCCTAGTGCAGCGTCCAACACCGTCCAACAAACGGGCAAGAGAGTGGTAGAGAGATTATGACACAGCATGAGAATGGGGCCTGGGAATGGATTTTGAGCTTGCCCTTCCTTGCAGCCCTCATCGCCTAACAATTAGCTCCCCGAAGATAGTGTGGATGCTAGAGCCACGTGCTACCGCCACTGGTCTGTCAGTCTGTCATCCTGAGGAAGCTACAGTAGTCAGCAAATGGGACTGGTGATAGAAATGAAGCTGCAGGCCACATGATAGAATTTTGCAAAGCCAACGACTTGTTCACCGCGAAGACTTGTGTTCAACCACACAAAAGGTGACTATATGCATGGGCTTCTCCAGACGGAATACACAGAAATCAAATCGACTACATCTGTGGGACAACACAGTGGAGAAGCTCAGTAACAGCAGCTAAAACCAGACCAGGGGCTGACTGCGGAACAGGCCATCAATTGCTCATATGTAAGTTCAGGATAAAGCTGATGAAAATTAAAAATTTTGACAGGATCCTGAATATTACCTTGAGGATGGCACTTGGATTTTGAGAACGTCTTAAGACCAGATTTGAAGCAAAGACCATCATTCAAGAAAGCAAAAGGTCATTAAAAAGACAGGAAAGAAAGAAAATCTCCAAGCGGATGCCAGAAGAGCCTCTGAAACTTGCTCTTAATTGCTTAGCAGCTACAGCACATGGAAGGAAGGATGAAGTCAAGGAGCTGAACAGAAAACGTCACAGTGCAGCTCTGGAAGACAAAGGCAAACATGGTAACAGAATGCGCAGGGGCCTAGAATGAGAGAATCCAAGGGGAAGAATGTGCTCAGCGTATCTGACACTGAACGAGCTCAAACAATTCAAGCCTTGAGTTGCAATTTTGAAAGATGCTCAAGGGAAACTATTGAATGATGCAGGAAGCATCACGAGAAGATGGACAAAACACAGACACCGTACCAGAAAGCACTAGTGGACGGTCCACCATTTAAGAAGGTAGCATATGAGCATGAACCAATGGTGTTCAGGGAAGACATGCAAGCTGCATTGAATGCATTAGCCAAAATAAGGCTCCAGGGATTGACAGAGTGCCAACTGAATTGTTTCAGAAAACTGAGGACGCACTGGAAGCACTCGCTCGCCTATGCCAGGGCATGTGGAAGACAGCTACTTGGCCAAGGGCTTGGAAGAAATCTATTTGTGCTAATTCCAAAGACAGGTGACCCAACAGAATGCTCAAATTATGGAATGATATCATTGATATCGCACACAAGTAAAATTGTACTTAAGCTCACCCGACAACAGTTGCAGCAGCAGACTGACAGGGAGCTGCCGGTTCAGGTCGGATTCCGAAGAGGATGTGCAACAGGGGACAGCATTGCTGATGTCAGAAGGAACTTAATTCAAAGCAGGGAATATCAGAAATATAGTTACGTGTGTTTCATTGACTATGCCAAAGCACAGTCAGGTGGACCATAATAAAATGAGTCAGGGTTGTATCTCCTCACCATGCGTGGTCAATCTGTGTGCTGAGCACATCATCAGAGAAGCTGGATTGAATGCAGCCAAATGTGGCATCCGGATTGGAGGAAGCTTATTAACAACCTGTGGTTACTCACTGATACCACCTTGCTTGCTGCAAGTGAGGCGTGAAACACTTGCTGACAAAGTGTGTGTTACTATCTCAGTGTGGATTACAACTCAGTGTAAGAACACCCAGATCCTCACAACTGGACCAGTAGGTGACATCGAGGTAAATGGGGAAAAGGTTGGGGTTGTGAAGGATGTTGTCTTGCTTGGATCCACAACCATTGCTCATGGAAGCCGCAGTCAAGAGACCAATAGAGGTACTGCATTAGGCCAGTCTGTTGAACAAGACCGCTTTAGAGTATTGAAGAGCAAGGATGTTTCTTTGAGGATGAAGGTGTGTGTGACCCAAACCATGGTGTTCTACATTGAATCATATGCATGTGAACGTTGGACATTGAATAAAGAAGACCGTAGAATAGGTACATTTAGATTGTGGTGCTGGAGAAGAATATTGAATGTACCATTGCTGCTAACAGGACAAACTGATCTGTGTTGGAAGAAGTCAGGCCACAGTGCTCCTTAGAGACCAGGATGGCAAGGCTTTGCCTTACATGCTTTGGACATTACTGTTAGGAGAGACCAGTCCCTGGAGAAGGACATCATGTTGGGTCAAGTGGAGAGCCGGTTATAAAGAGCAAGGCCCTTGATGAGATGGAGGGACACGTGGCTGCACCAGTGGGCTCAGGCATGGGAACAATGGTGCAGGACTGGGCAGTGTCTCCTTCTGCTGTGCACACAGTCACTATGCACCAGAGACATTTTCTTGGCACCTACCTACAACAACATCACAAAATCAGAGGGTATGCAACTATCACAATAAAGAGTGTCTGGGGTCTTAAAGGCTTGTTTTAAAACAAGCGTCACCTAACTGAGGTGTCACAGATAAGCAGCCTTCTAAGTGGGGTGTCAGCTAAATCCACATGGAAGAAGCATGCTAGCTTGTATGATCCAAGGACTGTAATTAATAAAATCGGAGACTGGAGCAGGGAATGCATTAGAGCTTAATTTCTGAGCCCCTGGTTTGCAGAAGGCTATGAATGACCGTGAAAATCCAAAATCCATTTGCACGGTTCATGTGATTAAGCCTCAACCCTGTGACCATTGGCCCCGGGGGTGAATGGTGTTGCTAACGGCAGAGTGCATTGGTACATCGATGAGTGAAGATATGGTTCAGATAAAACCTTATCGTTTCTTCTCTCCGTTGACCCATTTTAAATTCATTCTGGATTTCAATATTTTCTCCTTTCTTTCCACTGAGGTTTTTCTCAGTTTTGGTTTGCTATTGGTTTTGTTCTTGTTCTGATTTTTTTCCCCCTCTCTCTAAGTTTTTGTGTCTGTGAAATGCAGGATAGGTAAATCTACGGAGACTGTACCCAATTGATTAATAGTTTCCTAGTGTTATGGCATGGGGGGATGGGGGAAGTGAGAAGCGAATGATAATGAGTACAAGAAAGAAGAAAATGTTTCATATTGCTTGTAGTGATGATTGCAAAACTCTTTTTTATATGATCAAGTTATTGTATTGTATTGTATGATATGTGAACTATATATCAATAAAACTGTTTTTTAAAACAAGTACGAAGATGATGTTGATAGACTCTACTATCACCATTTCTCCGAGGGGAACTGAGGGCAGAGATTACAACGTCTTCCTCCTGCTCACAGACTCAGGCCTGGGACGCACCCTGGCTGTCTCCCCGCCCGGGTTCCCTCTCCCTCCCCGCCCCCACTGGAAGACATCACATGCCCTGTGGAAAAGACTTCCTGCTCTTGCAGGGGAGGCTCCTGGCTGCTGGCCAGCTCCCCGGAGTTGCACACACAGAGGTGCCCCAGCAGCAGAAAGGGGCCCAGGGCCTCCTGCCAGCCTGCAGTCACCCCAGCGCTCCTGGAATGGATGACTCAGCAAGTCTGGATGAAGGTGGGCAAGGGGCGCAGGGAGAGCAGAGCTGGGCAGGGCCGGCTCTAATCTCTCCACTGGGGAGTCCACGCTCCGCAGCCACACCTGAGCACAGGCTCACTGTCTCCTGGCTGGGCAGTATGAGAGTCAGGGGGGTTGGGGCTATCAGCAAGACAGATCCTCTCAAAGACCTCTAGACTTCGCTCAGCCAGTGAGACCAAGCCCCAGCAGAACGCAGGCCGCCGCCCACAGCTGACCTTCAGGGCC